AGAGTCCTGCCTTATGAAATACATGTTCTGGAAAAAAATGTTTAATATTTACACATTTAGAGACACTTGTTTTTTTCCTGACTATCACATTTTCAGGAATGATGTTATTTAAGTGTTGGCTTAAAAGAACACGTTTCACTATCTGTCGTTCCCAGAAATAAAAAAACCCAAAACATTTTCAGTGTACATTGCAAGAATGGCACGATCGTCATTAAGTTCTTCATCTTTTTCATTTATTAATGGCCAATGTAGCTCATTAATTAACACATAAAGTCATTTAAAAACCTCATCAAACATGTCTCCCATTCATCAGTCATCTGATGTTAATGCTCTACCTGAATGCTGCTATCTGAACTCCCTGCCATCTGTTTGATTGATTGATTCCTCATTGAATATTTGCACTAAAGTTTATCTCCATGTATGAGATTAACACCAGAGCTTTCAGTGCATTAACCTGTGACTTTCTCCTGAGTATAATTCACAAAATCCAGGTGAATAAAGGTTTTCAAGCTGTTGTTTGCTGTAAATCTGCTCAGTTTCCAGCTGATTGTGCGACACTATGAGTTGCAACAACACAACAAAATGAGTTACTGATGATTTATCATGAAATCCCTCCGTCTGTAACGTGTCCACTTGTCCCTTTGTTCCTGTAGATGTTTGGAAACTGGACATTTGGCACGCTGGTCTTCACTGTACTCGTCTTCACTGTCACATTCAAGGTAAACAGGTGCACATATAGAGGAAACAGTATCTACACACACACACACACACAGACGCTCCCAAGTGTCACTGGTGTCTTTAAGATGACAGGTGTTATGTGTGTGTTGTAGTTGGCTCTAGATACTCATTACTGGACCTGGATCAACCACTTTGTCATCTGGGGCTCGCTGACCTTCTTCGTGGTCTTCTCTCTGCTGTGGGGAGGAATCATCTGGTAGGTTATGACAACATATTTTCACATGTCTCCAGTGACTGGAGACATTATGTTTCCAGGCTGTCCGTCCATCTGTCCCATTCTGGTGAACACGATATGTCAGTAATGCTTTGAGGGAATTTCTTCAAATTTGGTGCAAATGCTCAGTTGGACTTTATTTGGGTTATTTATATGTAAAAGCCTGTGTATTCCCAGTGCCATACATTTTAATAAGTCAGTGAACTAGTTGGTTTCACACCTAAAACATTAGTGAACTAAATCTATCTCTCCACTCCTCTCCTCTCCTCTCCTCTCCTCTCCTCTCCTCTCCTCTCCTCTCCTCTCCTCTCCTCCTCCAGGCCCTTCCTCAACTACCAGAGGATGTACTATGTGTTCATGCAGATGCTGTCCAGTGGTCCGGCCTGGCTCAGTATCATCCTGCTGATAACAGCCAGTCTGTTGCCAGATGTGGTTAAGAAGGTGATCTGGAGGGCGCTGTGGCCCACCACTACTGAACGCATACAGGTGGGTACATTTGTATGTACACATAACATGTTGCAAGTATCATCTGTAGTAAACCTAAATACATACCATCAATATTCATAGCATTGTATTGGTACTCCATTTCTTATAATTCACTTTCTGTACAGTGGGGTTCACTGTACAGAAAGTGAATTATAAGATCTCTTTAAATATCTTTAAATGTTCTAATGTCATGTGTTAAATGTCTAACTGATGAACGTGGGTCAGCAGATGTACGCTGGCTTTGGCTACGTCCCTGCTCTGTTGGGTGTAAGTCAGTACACCCCTCTTTGTTTTTGTGCTTCTTTATTTCTATGTCGGATAAGTACATAGAGCTCGTGTGTGAGTGTGTGTGATTTTATTAATGGAGAGTTAGTAATGTTCAGCAAGGATGTGACGATTAAACAAAGAGCCCTGTTGTAAATGACCTTGTAAACAACACAGCGAAGATATAAGGAGATATAACACGTGTGTCACAGGAAGGAGAAGAGAGGGAGGTAAGAGACAGCAATAAGACAGCATACTGTACACACAACAAAATAATGTTTCTAAAATCAAGTAAAGCTCAAACAGCAGGTATTTATTAGTCAGTTAAAAATAATGTATTGTTCAGTGTTGGAACAAAACATCAGCCACTCCCAGGCTCTGGAATCTGGTCCGAGAGGAGCTCATGAAAAGCACAGCTGTTGTTTTAGTTGCAGGTGAAGGGAGAGATAGGGACTTTCTAACAGGCCTGTTTAGCTGTTGAGAGTGTTGTTTGTTTTCTAATTGTTTGCAGTGAGGTGTGAACTATTGTCTTCTGATGACCTGAAAACCTTTTTATATTTCTTCCTCTATAACCCGAACGTCTCCTTTTCCCATAACCAAACCTGTCAAGATATTCCTGTTGCTTTGGCTCAGACTTTTTCATCTCATAGCTGTTCAAATGCAAAGACTTTATTCATAAGAACTTTTTAAATCTCATAAATTGATCATGTGGCTTTGACTTTTTCTCTCCTCTCCCTGTTCCCTCTTTCCACTGACCCTCTCATCCTCCTCACCTTGATGAATCCCTCCCTCTGGTTCTCGTGGCAGGCTAAACGTCGCTGCCTTGCCTCCGAGCCCTCCACCATCTTTATGCTGTCTCAGACCTCCAGCAGAATCAGTTTCTAACCCAGCCCCTTCTGGAGGTGACCCTTCTGCTTCCCTGTATTTTCCTTTTCCCTTCGTCCCGTCACTTTCTCCCTGCCACTGTTTTTGCATGACGTGAGTCTCATGTTAACTCGTCTGTTTGCATGCCACCACAAGAGTCTGTGGTGTGAAGGAAGTGAATGCAAATGTGCCGCTTGACCTTCTTAGAATTTATTTTTTGCTAAACATTGAGGTTGAAATAAATGTATTTTTATTCGTTAGACCACAAATATGTCTGAATGTGTGTGTGTCCACAGAAGGTAAGGGATAAAAAAGGGTTTGAGAGGGCCATGGCCTACCGGAGTTCTGACTCGTTAATAGATGGAGTAGCTCTCACAGAAGCCTAGAGGGCTTCAGCACGGTAAAATACACGCCCCGGCTCTCTGTGTGTGTATGTGTGTTTAATGGTTGGACTGGGTAATGGTGGGTGAGTTTAACATCCTGCAGTGATGGGGGTTTACTTTGCCGTGGTTTGTGGTTCCTCCCATTTGACTTTGGGGACGTTATTGCTGACTAACACATGAGTTGCAGTGGGTTGTGTCTGCGAGCGCTTGGTAAGGCCTCAAAAGTCAAGGATTCTCCAGGTATTGCACAATACTCTCACACCCTGTTCTTCACTCTTTACACGGAGCTCTGCTGCCCTCTAGTGACACAACATCGCTACAGAGGAAGTTTTCTCACTGTGGGACTGAACGTTCATGCATGTTTTATTCATCATGTGTTTCATTTGCATGGTTTGGTTCATGGTGTTACATGGTGTTTGTTTATTTTTTCATGTTTATGCTCAAATGTGAAGAGTGACATTATCATCACAGCTGGACAATTAGATTAAAGCTAATGCAGTACTTTATTAGTAATAAACTGATATAATAAAAAAGGACGTTCATACATATATGATTGTTAGACTATGTTATCACAGGTTTAAATCTTGTGACAAGGATTTCTATTCCTGTGAGATGACACACTGATCCTCGCTAAAGTTCATAGCAAATACCCTAAACTGGAAAAACTCTTAATCGATCTGGATTTGTGCACAGTGACAGTCATGTTAAAACATAAAATAATAGATAGATACTATATTGATCCCGAGGGAAATGTAGGAATGGTCCACCCTGCAGCCTCAAAGGTGCAGCAGTGGCCCTAACTTTAAAAAACAGCCTGAGACCGTACAGAAATTTCAGTGTCCTGTAAAACAGATTGAATTTTGGCCAGCTGAGATAACAGTGTTTCCTCTAAGTGTCTCCTCCACCTGCTCTCTGAGATCTCTCCACAAGTAACATCTCTTTTTACTTTTATATCCATCTCTTCCCCTCCGTCTCCTTCTCCTGCATCTTCACACTTGTGCAGAATGCTGATAAACTCTATAAGGGCCACCTGTCAGAGTTCACCCCCCTGGCGTCTCTCCACGCCCCACCCAAGGCTGGCGGCCACCGTCGAGGCTCGGGACAACAAAGGAGCGCTGCGCACCCTCGAAGGTCTGAACCCTTTAACAAGAAAGTCATGTTCACACGCTGGCAAAGAAAGCCAGACTATAGCACCTTCACCCCACTCCTCCGATTCACAGACGGCTCCCGCCACATGATTCAGGGACATGGCTACGGCGAGGCGGGGCCTGAGACCTCAGTCTAATTTATTTCTCGTTAGTACTTTATTTTTGACATCGGATATATTTGGAGCTGAACTGAACAAATGTCCCTGAGGACAGTACGTGACTAAGTGTTACTGAGCTGGACCATGTTGCTATAGCATCTGTAATCCATCTCTTAGAGATTACAGTGAACCTTTAGAACTTCTTAGCCAAGTGTGGCGCAAAGCACTATGGGACGACTCTGGAAAGGACTCCAACCACTGGGGCCTCATGACGTGCAAAGGGCTCAGCGTACTGATGTCACGGCAAAACACTTTGATTACATGAGACTGGAAATATGAACACTGGCCCTTTACACCTGTGTGCTGCTGACAGCAGGCAGCTGAGATGTACTTCTGGGATTTACATGACTCATTTAGATGTGTTGTGATTCTGCAGATGATGATGATGATGGTGCTTTCTCAGCATTTGCTTTCTCTGACCAACCATTTTCTTTTCTTCAATTCCTGCCATCTCTCTCTCTCTGTCCATCTGTCCATCTGTTCTTCCTCTCTATAGGACTAACTGGTGTTGCCTGTGTGCAAACTTATTATCCCGAAACACTCCGTAGGACTCTGGGGTCAGATCCTCCAGCGCTGTAAGGAAGGGTGCAGTACAGAAGCTGTTAGTGTTTGTAAAGTGCATCTGAGTTGGTCTTCTCCTCATTTATTAGATTCATTGTGTCTTAAAGGGAGAAAGACCAACTTCAGCTGCACTTGCAGACTCTTGTGTAGGTAGAGTGTCCGGTGGGATAGATACTTGTGTGTTTGCTGATAGCTAGAGGTTGTGTTAGTGTCTGTGCTGTTTTCATTCCTTCTCCCATCGTCTTTGAAGCACTTTAACATATATTTATCTATAATGCTGAGAGATTAAACGCTGAAGTCTTTTATGCCTTATTATTTATTTTATTGATAGAATCCAGTAGAAATGGCTTCGTCTCAACCTAATGCCTTAATGTCATCATGTAAATACCAGAGATATTGAACCAAAGAACCACAAGAGAAAACAAAGTTAGACGTCCTCTAACCGAAGCTGTTTTTAGACATGAAATCCATAAAATTAGGTGCGGTCATTTCCCGGAGTTTGACTTTGACATACAAAGAGCGCAGAAGGGGATAGTCCGGGTCAGACGCTGAGCAGCTCTCTAATCTCATTAGTTAACATCTTCGCCTGCATCATGTTTGTGTTCACTCTCTTGAGATATTTGGATTTTCCCAGTTTTGTGTCCATCGCATTTTAGACACATGCTCCAAACTTCTTGATGCCTTAGATTCATATTAAAGCTGTATTTCTGTGATATGTTCATCAGAAGTTTAGCCATTTAATACGGAGGACGCACATCCAGCCCTTCCATCCAGGTCTTATTTATTTGTATTCTGTCATACACAACCCACACATCATAGAATTTTCACAAACAATAAGAAAAAACAAGATCATGCAATCCAACATGTAGAAACAAAATTATAAAATTAAACGAATACAGTTTTATGTACAAAATATGACACAGTTTATTGAATATATTACCATAGTGGTCTTTATTGTGATCCCACTGTCTCATACTTTCTTTTAAAGGCAGTTTCATGTCCACAATTCAGCGTACAGTCACTAAAACCTCTGTTCCTCGTATAGAGTAAAACAGAAAACAATGCTGTGTTTTCAGCGTGACTTCTCATTCAGACTTGGACTTGCTCGGTCTTTGTAACGTTTGCCTGAATGAGGTGTTTACACCTTTTGAGATGAAAAGAGCGACACAATATAGAAACATTTATGGCACCACCAGCGGCTGGTTAGCTTAGATTAGCACAAAGACAAAACGGGTGAACACATGTAGCCTGGCTTCAGGTTGAATCACACCTCTAAACCTCACTAATAAGCACATTCATCTAATAAATGATTATGGAGGGAAATATGTAGAAATTCAGTTTGGTTGTCATCACACTACTTTTAATTAATGAGGTATAGACTGATGCTCTTAAAGGCTCTTAAAGATGGACTTACAGAGGGAATGACACTTTCTACCTTCACATTCTGGTTTCCTGTTTGAAAACGTATCCTCTCTGTCTTTCTTTCTAGCTATCTCTCCTCTTTTTCTACCTTTCTCTCATTCTGCTGAAGCGACGTGGACGTTTTCTCACCTCCATCCGTGCTCCTCATCACCCGCTTCCTCCATCGGTCTGTCCATCCATCTGTCTACACGTCCATCATGAGACGGATTAGAAATCGTTTTGTACTCGACTTTTAATAGTTCTCATATGAACCAAAGCCTTGTTGCTGCTAGAAATCCTCGTAGCTGCTTTACATTAGGTGCCTTGTGATAGTGAACTGTCTTCGCTCGCTTTTATGATGAATTCTACTACTTATAATCAGCGATTGGATGGAAAGGCACTGCAGATAACGGATTTATGGAAGAGAATCTAAGAAAAGGTGAAATGCCGCATTGAAATATGATTGGTATGCGATCAATGAACAAATTAATCAGCACTTGCACCAAAAACATTCAACAACAATCGATGTTCAATATCTGTTTTTTTATGTTTTTATTCCAGTTGTTTTGTATATGACCACGGGGCATTTTGTCTCTGAAATGTTATTTCTACTGTTTTCATTAATGTATAAAGTTTAAAATTCCCCATCACCACATTAAGACAGAGTAAGTGGTCCGAGCACATTGGATATCAGATATCAGCCCAATGGTGTTTTTTATTTAAAGACACTGAAAAATTGCTTCAGCTCTGCTTGATTGATCAACTGCTGTTGATCGGTGACACGAACTGGAATTTGTTTTGAGTATATGTTCTGTGTTTTTTTACTTTAATGTCTGACTCCTATGGAAGAGTAATATATTCAATGGAGAAATAAAATTCGCTCCGTTTATCTGAATTGATGAGATCAAAATCATCCTTGTATACTTTCCGTCTGAAGAGTCCCACAGTCCTGTGCCTGTGCAAAGTCGACAAACTACTCTTACTTCAAGACACAAGCAGCTCCCAGTGTCCTAATCCTATTTACATTTTAAACTTTTCTCAGAATTCTGACATAAACATCTTGTTAATTGAGAAAAACGGAGCAGATTTTTTTTTGTATTGCACTCACTTCAGCAGACATAAGTTTTTTGACAGAAATTTAAATATAAAAATGAACAGCAAAGCAATATCATCAATATATATTACAAATGAAACAATATTTCTGAAAAGAGACAAATCCAAACTTACTAACGGTAGTTCTTAAAATACTTTTATTTCTGTAATGTGGTTGAACTGAGCCTTAATGTTCTCAGGATTACGAATGTAAACATGTAATCAAAGATCCTCCTCCTGCTGGTGTTTGTGTGGATGTAAATTGGGCTTTGACACATTCAGATTATCGTAGAGAGCTTTTTGTCAGACCGTGCCAGTATTTAATATCCTAAAAACTGTTTTCCCACCGGAATCCAGAATAATAAGTATGAGTATCTGCACTTAGAGGCACTCTGGAGTCTTTTAAAGAATCATCCGAGGAACTGAATCAGTGCCATGAGCCTCTTTTCCATTCAGTCAGGCCCATCTCAAAACTGTTACAGAAAAGGAATATCAAGAGCTTTTTGTAGGCTCTGTGTTCCACGTCCCACGAGGCTTTGGTCCTTCTTATTATTTCTGGAGACCGCATTTGACGCTTGTCTTATTTTGTGTAGAAGCGTATTCAAACAACCCTGCACACGTAGCTCTAAAATGAGTATTACAAAAAGACAAAAGATATTTCCGTGGTGTCCGCTCAGATCCCTGCACTGAACCGTCTTCTTCTGATGATTGACACGTCTCTGTAGAAATCTTTCAAAGCTATTTAATGGTGGATTTAAGGTCTTTACTGTACTGATCACTGTCTGTCCAGATCTTTCAACACCACTGAAACTGACAGCCTTCAAACCGAATGTTATCCTGTCTCTTTTACAATGTATTATTGTGTCGTGTTCTGTATGTCTCCTAACCAAACAGTATCTATAACTGCTGTACACACACTGATACGGTTTAAATATATATATATATATAAATATATATATATAAAGATATAAATGTAGTTATGTTAATTGATGTACAGTTTTGGGGTCTTTTTGTATACAGTTTTTAAACAGAGTCATATCAAGATTTACTTGTGGATTTTTGCCAACCTTTCTGTAGCTATCGACGGCAAACAGCTGTACATGTGCTTAAGAATAAAAGCCAGAGGTGGAAATATTATAACCTTGTATAATATGCTGTTTTATGTGTAGCTGCACTTCCTGCTCCAGCCACAAGGATGCAGCAGAGTATTTTTGACTTGTCAGACCTTTGCGGGGCCTAAATTGACAAATCTTCAGCACCTGAAGAGTTTTTAATATCTGAAATATGATCGAAAAGATTGAGGTGAATCCAGAACATGTTCATCTAAGTCACCTGTGTTTTCTCATGCTAAACTCTCATCAGTGTAGAAAATAACAAGGAATTAAAGGGGAAAAAAGAGATTCCTTGATTTAATTCTTCTCCGAAGCTGCTCCAGGGCTGCCGTTTGCACCATCTGTGGATGTCAACAAGATTAGGATGGAGCTTTTGGATCGATTGGATTCCCTTCATCCTTTTCACTTCTCATCTGCGCTGATCTCCACGTTCCTCTCCTCCACAGCTGGCAGCCGCTGGGACCTGCTGGCATGTCTGACAAGGATGGAGAAATATCTAGAGCACGACTGTCAGAGGTGAAATCGAGGGAAGAGGAAAAAAGGAGATGTTGAAAAGTGGCAGTGCGTCGTCTACACTTTCATCCTCGAGCTTTTGCCAGCAGCTGTTTTTACCAAGCTGTGACTCATACAGTTGTTTTTAGAAGGCAAGCAGAACGACCACCTATCCAACTCCAATACCACTAAAAACTAGGTCTACCTTTGATTTCCCATCATGCTTTATTAGTTGGTTAAGATTCTAAACAAGAGGTGCAGAGTTGAACCTGAAACTGTGCATGCTAACCCCAAATCCTGAGTCATAGTCAAGGCCTCTGAGGCTGCATCACTGGGGGTGCTTCAGTGAGATGTACGGTAGGTGTCAAGTTTGTTACTGAAAGAACGCTCCATTAAAATGAGTTCACACCCACATGAAAATACTCTAAGATCCACAGAACGACACAGTGGAGAGAAATGTTGTCTGAATTTGACATCATGTTGAGAGTCTGACTCATCTTTCTGAAGCTGCAACAGGTGAACACATAAACTTCTGTATGACCACAACAGCAATTTGCCAGATTAAACTAATGTGTTTGTGAGTTTCAGCCTCATGCGCCTTATTTCCAGGCTTTTTTCTGTGCAAAAGCTCCAGATACAGATAGTGGCGTGGAGCTTCTCATCCAACTTTGGCAAGAATGAATAATAAGTGATGTTGGCTAAAAAGCTGCAGCAGAGTGTAGCAACACTCAAGTAAGAGATGAGCAGTAACAATCTCTGGGTATTAAGTCCTTTTTTATTTTATTTCTGGGAACATAAATAAAGCTGCGAGTACATGAAGATGCTGAAGACATTGTAGGAGCTGTGAACTCCCTTAAGAATTAAAGAGGATCAATGTTAATTTGATTACCAAATAACAATCAGCTCCGATTAATACCTTTAGTAACAACAGTGTGTTTTTGTGTTGCTGCTGCACACTTCTGTGCCCAGCAGTTGGTCTGACACTCAAACTATTAAATCATTAGACCTAAGACCTCACACACACACACACACACACACACATACACACACAGAGCAAGTCTTTTCTCATGGTTGTATTGTCAGCATGTGTCTCTATTCACAGCATTAAATGGAGGGAGGTGATGGATGCATCCACACGTGAAATCTACGAATTAGCTGTGAAATAGCTGTTATTTGTCAGCGATTATGGCCTGGCTTTTAAAGGGAGTTGTTTTGCGGATGGATGCACAGACATAAACACACACACACACACACACACACACACACACACAAATACACACAAGGAAGCTCACTGACATTTTTGCTGAGTTTAAACATAAATAGAGAAAATCTCAGAGAAGACTTTAACATTTCTTTCTAAATTCTTTATTGTTTCAGAAAATGAAATCCATCTTCCTCCACCTCACCTTCTTCATCCTTTTACCCATCCACCACCTCCAGCCTCTGCACCTCGCCTGAACGAGGGAAATTGTGCAGAAACTTTATTCCATCTGTCGTCTCATCTTGTCACGTCTTTGTCACTCACCCGTCAATGTCCTGAGACACGATACAGTCACACAATACGAGGGGATCTTAAATGCTGAGTGCTGAGGGGGCTGCTGATGTTATGTGGTGTGTACACGGACAATATTCACACACAGTCTCAGAAACACACGCACATTGACTGCAGATATACAGTTTAAGGATTAGGAATATTTAAAAATAGAATAAAACTGTGGGAGACATTGATCTGACTGCTGTTAATG